CTGAGGCAGGAGGATCACTTGAGCCCAGGAGTTTGAGGTTACAGTGAGCTATAATCATACCCCTGTACTCCAGCAACGGAGCAAGACCCTGTCTTAAACAAAAAAGACACTCAGATTTTTCATAATATTTTTATACTTTTGTAGAGTTATTATATCAAAAAGGAGTCTAGATCTATGGCCCCAGAACAGAATTTGACTCAGAATAAAAAGAACCCTCTGCCCCGAAGATGAAATGGGCTGCCCCCAGGAGTGGTATTTTCCCACTCCCTAGAGATGTTCAGGCTGGAGCATCTCCAACAGGAGTGCCCAGACATCCTGGAGGCCCTGGAATGGCAGGGAGGTAGACAGTGGTGGCAGGGAAATTGATGGCCCTTTCTATGAGCCTTGGTTGACACTGGCCCCCTTTTTCCTGCCACCACACAGCTGGGGTCACATGCTCCTCCCCCAAGACTTCCCCCTGCCTATGCCAGGGGGCCAACTCAGGCCCCTTGGAGCTCCATGTTCACTGTCAGGGCCTGGCTCTGCCATTTTGTTTCAGGTCTAGTCATTGGGTTACTTCTGCCTTGTTCAGGAGGCCAATGTTTACAATTTTCAACCCAATTCTGGTAACCCAGTACTGCTTAATACTGTGACTGGTCCCCCCAGGCTCTTGAGAAGTTTAGTAGTGAAGGGAAGTGAAAGGGAGAAGCCAAACATTTGATCATCTTCATAGGTTGTAGGGAAGGCAGCCAGGCAGAAAGGATAGGGAGATACAAGAGCAGGGCTCTGAGAAGGCCAGAAGCTTGGGAGTCTAATAAGAAACAAAATATAGGAAAAGAGCAAAGGTTGGTATGGCACAGGGATGATACTGTCAGTCTATCTTTGCCTGATGGTCTTACTTTGATTCCCTGTATTTTAAAGGAACAGTTGACCATTGCAGGTGAGGAAGGCAAAGAGGAGGCTGTAATCTTGTTTGGAACAGTTGCCATAGGAAAAGGGAAAGGTCAGCTCAGGAGAATATAAAAGAATTGCACACTGCCTGAGACCAGTCTCAGGCTAGAGACCAGAAGTGGCCCTACCTGGAGTACAAAGCCCACAAGCAAATTCCAGTTAGAAGCCAGCAAGGTAAACTTAGTAGACAGTCAAGGGCAAGTAAAATAAGAATCAGTCGAAATATTGTCCACTTTGTGTCCATATGCATGTGGGGGTGGAGGAGGTAAGGGTGGATCAGAAAAGCCAGCCAGGGAGGAGCTCAAGACTGTAGGGCTGGAATGACTTGAAGTCAAGAGTTTCCCCAAAGCTAACAGTAGGTTTGGGAGGTGGAAGGATGCAGGATGGTGAAGAAATTTCTGGTGATGAGATTCAAGTGGTAGGCATTTGATTAGTTGCTAAAGAGACATGCGAGTGAAGGTCTTTGAAGGGACAAGGCCAGTGGACATGCTGCTAGGATGCTGGCTGTCCTGAATGATGGCGGGGGATTGGGGTGGCACTCAATGTGAGGTGGCTATTGTTTTTAATAAGTTCAGGTGTCCTTATAGCTAATAATATATTGAGGTTAATTATGGGGTAATGTATACTGTGGCCAATGCTTCAAAGCATCGTTAGCTTTGGAAGAGAGAAAGTTGAACAGGTTGGGCAAGAGAGACCTAAGTCAAAATAAAAGGCATGTTCAAGCTCATCCAGACCATGTTAAGAGGGACTGACATAGTTGAGTCTCAGTGTCCTGGGAGACACCATCATATTCTGACAGGGAGCAGCATCCCCTGTTCCACTAAGTAGTTAATTAACAGTAGCCCAAGGTTTTTCTACCACAAGCATCCAGTTTACTCTGGGGCTCAAGGAAGTTCAAAACAAGCAAGAGAAGGGCTCCTGGCAACAATAACAAATTCCTACAGCATTTCATCAGTACTCCTATTTAGTGGAATATACTGACTGCCTTGTACTACCCTATTCCTGATACAGACCTGGGGCCTGTGCTCCTCTGTGTTTTCATCACCACGTACAAACTTCTATCAGAAGATTTATGAAAAATTGGTCTTTATTTTTCTGTCTTCAAGCTTGAGAAGTTCCTGAGTAAAGACATGGATGACTTATTCATTTCAGTGCCCTTGGTGCCTGGCGTAGTGCCTGGCATGCGGTAGTTGGTGATTAATAAATGCCTGCTGATGCACAGAGTCAGAAGTGGGATGCCCAACTCCCTTTTTACAAAGGAGAAAGCTAAAGCTCAGAGATTGTAAGCTACTTGCCCAAGGTCACAGAGCTGCTCAGTGGAAAAGTAGGGTTAGTCTCTTGACTCCTAATCCAGTCCTTGTCAGACAACACCACTTCTACATCTGCTATCTGTTGCTAGAGAGAGGAAAGACGTTACTGACTTCTCCATTGCTAAGTGCCTTGACTCTCCTTCATCAGCTCTGCCCCTATCATCATGAACTTGGCTGAAGACAGAAAAAGTCTTGCTTATCAGATCTGCAGATAGCAAGAAGCTGGGTAGGGTAGATTATCCTATAGATTAATACTGGGTGACAGGCAGAATTAAAAAGAAATCTAGATGAGAAGGAAAAGGAGTGTGGGAACAAGAAGATGAGATTTAACTAAAAACAAAACACAAAACCGGGTTAGATTTTGCACTTAGGATAAAAAGGACTTCATAAGAGCAGGAAAAATTTAGATGAACAATGGTTTATATTGAAATCTCACAGGCTCAGGAGTCAATGAAGTTAATGTGCAGGGCCCAGCCTCAAGAGGTGTTAATCTACTTGTGAGTTCCTATGATCTGACCTTTTCAGGGGCCACATTTTCAAAAGGAAATCAGTAAGCTGGAGGGTCACTAGAGTAACTAGTGGCACTATATCCATTGTCACAAGTGAAATGGCCTACAAGGGAAGTCCAGCTTACCCAGGGCATTAGGCAAGGCCTTTAGGCTCTGCCTGCCCATCTTGTTTACACTTGGGTGACATGCATACCAGGCTGTTTCAACCTCTATACATACTGTTTCTTGTATCTGGATTATTCTGTCCCCTTTATTTCCCATTCCTAATAGTCTACTTGGTGAGAACCTATCTAATTTTCAAAATCCTTCTTAAGACTGGATGCAGTAGCTCCTGGCTAATAATCCTAGCACTGTGGGAGGCCGAGGCAGGAGGATCCTTTGAGCCCAGGAGTTTAAGACTAGCCTGAGCAAGATTAAGACCCTATCTCTACTAAAAATGGAATAATTAGCCATGTGTCTGTACTTGGGAGGTTGAAGTATGAGAATCACTTGAGACCAGGAGTTTGAGATTGTAGTGAGCTATGATGACACCACTGCACTCTAGCCAGGGTGTCAGAGGGTAATTATGTCACAAAAAAGAAAAAAAAAATTCTTAAGTTTTACTTCCTTCCTTATAAAACTGTCTTAACCAAATCCCTAGGCAAAACTCACAATTCTTTTGTCTACATTTTCATGCTGCCCTATTCCAAGTTATAGGATTTTGTATTTCACCCTGCATTGTCTCCCCATTATTCTGTAACTTATTGAAGGCAGAGATAGTGTGACCTAATCTGAGACATAGCTGTTCACATGATTCAAACAAATGAACCAGAACTTCAAGTGGATTTTCAAATATTTGAAGAACTACTCTGCAGACACCTGAAGAGATGTGAAACGTGAAGCTCCAGAGCTACAAATGAGAATGAAGAGAGGCATGTGAGCAGAGACAGATTTGGGGTCACTAAGAGGAAATGCTTCAGCGTTGGCAAGGAAACTCAGATTCTAGTGACAGAAGCCTAATTTGAAGTAGCTTGAGCAAAGGGAGAATTTTTTTGGCACATACATTCCAAGGCAAGTTTGAAATGCCAACCTGCAGGAAGGTTAGGGACAAAGCTGGGCCTCAGAAACACCTGCTGCAAGCCCTGAGAGCCTGCTGGACTCCACACTCACCAGCTTCCACACTGTCAGCCTGCTTCTTCCTCCCTGTCGACTGGTGGCTTCCATGGCGGGACACATGACAAGCTCAGGCCTCACAACTCAAAGATTTCTGCCACTGAGGTTCTGGTTTTCTCTCCCAATTTCAAGTTCAAAAAGTTTGGTGAAGAACTTGGATTGGCACAGCCTGGGTGTGTGGTCAGGGAGATAGGGCGCCGTGCTTACTCCTTTGCTCCCATTTTCTAACAGTTATAACCATCTACCTCTGGGCACTTTCTGGATGCTCTCAGGAATACAGAAGAGGAAGGTGAAAACACACATTGTGGTCACTTCCAATATGCAGAACCAGGTTTAGGCAGTGCTAGCACCTTGCTTTTGGAAATTGTTGAACGATTTAATTATTTTTCTGGGCATTAGGACTCTGCCCCTCCCTGTGATGCTGGGAAACAGATACTGAAGAGTGAAAAAGGAGGTTCCATTAAATCTAGAAGTGTTGACTGAACCCTAATCTATGCTAGATGGGGCGGGGTGGGGTAGGGGGGGCTGGTTGCAAGGTATATTTCCCAAGGAGTTCTAGCCTCCCAGGGACGGAGGTCTCTAATGGAGGTGGGCAGGTCTGCCAAGTGCTGGACTAACAGGCCCTGGTGACTAGGGTTGGTCAGGGCTGGTGCCCAGCAAAGGAGCGGCTTCTCCGGCTCCTTGTCCCCCAACGATCTAGTCCAAGCCTCGAGCAGCTTACCAGGCTCCACCATCCCAGCCTCTCGGGGCTGTGCCTAGCAGTCTCGCTTGGAGAAGGTGGCAGAGTCCGAGCTTCTTCACACGCTCAACGGGACAGGACGCGAGCGGGCAAAGTAGCTAGCTGGGACTTCAAGAAGGGCCTGTCCCGTTTCCTCCTGGCCCGACGGCTACCAGGACCGGCGGAGGAGCAGGGACCCTCCGAGCGCGGCTCAGCGGCTTCCCCTCCCCCGCCCGTTGCCTCAGAGCTGCCCTCGCCCAGGCTGGGCCGGGGAAGGGACAGCAGCAGGTGACGACGGGCCGCCGCCGGGCTATAAATACGGGCGCGCGTCAGCAGCGGGCGGGAGCTGGGTGGCGGGCAGGGGCCTGGAGGCGGCGGGCGCGGGGCGGAGGCGCCATGGGGTCGCGGAGGATCCCCACCAGGGGCTGGGGCGCGGGCGGACGGGCCGGGACGGGGGGCGACGGCGAAGACGAAGGGCCGGTGTGGATCCCTAGCCCCGCCAGCCGCAGCTACCTGCTGAACGTGCGGCCTGAGACCAGGTGAGCACCCTGCAAGGAGGGCTGAGGTGGGCAGTGGAGGCCTCAGGGGTCCTGGGTCTGGCCCAAGGGCGTCTGGGCCCTGGAGGCCCGGGCTGAGCCCCAGCCCAGCTCTCTCAGTTCTAAGGCCAAAGGCCCAGATTGAAGTGGCCTTCACGTCCACTCCTGGCTCCTCTTGACCCCTCAGGCCCTGTAGCCCTCAGGCTTCTGGCAATTCTAGGCTCAAGAGAGGAGAAAGACCCTACTTTGAGGTGATTTCCCTGAGGCCTGAAGGCTTTCCTCACCCCACCCCATAGAGGCTGCTCCCTAGACTCCACATTTAACTGGATTCCACAGTGGAGATAAGCAGAGTCAGAGTGGCTGGAATTCCTCTGTGGCAGGAGGGAGGGAGAGCACTTTGGGGAATGGAGAAAGGGGACAGGGATGCCAGGGTTCTGCCGGAGCAGGGGAGGTTCACCAGGATGAGACAGACCTGGGTAAACACAGCCTTCTCTGGGCCCAGGCCTGAATAGAAGGAGTGGGAGGAGGCCCTGCTCCCTGCTTGGCCCCATCCTGGGGATGCTGGGGTGTGAGCACTGAGGGAGCTGTGCCCAGCTCGGGGAGTGTGGTGCCAAGGGAGGCGTGGAACTGGTGAGCCCTCACTGGCCTTCTCGGAGTTGCAGAGGTGTACATGCTTTGTTTCAGGAGCTGGGCTGTCCCCAGATAGAAAGGCAACAGCAAAGACCCACAGTCACTCCTCAGAGGGACACACGCACCAACACAGAGTACATGCGTGGCCAGGAGACAGGCTTCTCCTGCCCCTCTGGGTGGTTGTTTCCTTGCACTTCCGGAGCCTGTTTTCCAAAGGGAAATTAGGGGGGTTAGCTGTTGGGAGGGTAGTTGTTTCCCAGCCCGAGAACATGGCTTATGGTGCATTTATGCAGAGAATAGCCAATCCTCTGAGGTGCTATTTAGAGACCTCTTATTCTCCATTCCTAAATCAGCACAAAAACAGGTGTCAAGGACATTCAGGAAAAGTCCTGGGCACTTTCTCATGGATTGACTGAGTCCTATTGACCTTGGAGTTGGAAAAGTTCAAATGAAACCGGAACCGGTTTCTGCATAAAACTCGTTAAAGGGTGTCACATGTCCAGGGCAGGCTGAGGACTGGTGTTAGTGACTGACCCAGACACAACAAGGCCCCTGGTTGCCAGAAGAGAATGCCTGTTCCTCCTCCCAATGCCTGGCAGAGACTGGATTGAAATTTGGACATTTATTCTAGTCCTTAGTGAAGCTGCCTCCCTTGTGGGAGCCTCACACTTCTCCCCAGTGATTTGTCTGGGCTCTGCCTCTTGTTTTTGGCCTTTGTCGATACCAGTGGAACAGATAGAAGAGTTGGAAGAAGGATTCTTCTTGGAGACAGCAGCATTCTTGAAAACCAGGCAGAATGGGGAGAGCAGAGGATCTGAGGTGTTAGAGAAAAGGCTGCAAGGTAGACACAGTGCTTCTGCCTGGCTGAACTGTTGTGGATGAGTGTTAATTGCATACCTCATGAGCACAGAGCAGTGTGCCAGGCTAAAGGTGGACTGGAAGTGGCTGGCTTAAGTGTCCTTGGACCCATTTAGGGAATACTCTTAAAAGGAATCTCTTTTCATCAAGCATTTGGAGGGGGCGGGACAGTGAGTTTTCTAGCCTTGGACTTCAGGTTGTGTTTGGCCCCTGTGGAGTTTTTCACTTCTCTTGCAAGCTGGCCACAGACTCTCATGGGTTCTGAAGGACAAGGGGAGGAAAGCCTTTGGTCAGAGTGAGGAGAATGTGAGTGGAGCTGCTTGGGTGGGAGGGGGAAGAGGCAGTTCTCAGTCCTCTAGCAAGGCCTGACCCGTCAGAGGCAGGTGTTGGAGGAGCACCCTCACAGCAAACTGCCTATGGGGGTGGGGAGGGGCCCAGAGTCCCCTGAGAACTTTGCCAACTGTGTGGCTCCAGCTGAATTGACCCCCGACTATCCCTAAGTCCTGACTGACAGACAAGTTTTGTCACCACACACTCTTGGTTCCAACGTTTTCTGGATCTGCTTTTACATCGGTTTTTCATGGAGCTCTTGAGATGTCATATTCATGTGAAGTCCTGTGAGGATGGGCTTCCCTGGGCACTGATACCCAGCAGGGTTGGGGGGGGGTTTACCAGAAGCCTTGGTCCAGGGTACAGAACTCACCACTACCTGCCCCTCGGCTCTGGTGGGGTTTCCAGTCAAATGTCAGCCCAGGGATATTTTCAATGCCCACTGGAGTCAGAGGCCCAACACACAGACAGTCCCACCAAACTGTAGGCACAGCCTCTTAGGTCACCCAATGTCTAGGACCTCCCCTTATAGGAAGGTGGGGTGTAGGTAGGCTAGAGTAGGTTAAAGGGTGGAAGCATTTGTTACCAATTAGCTTCTGTAGGGCACTCAGAAGTTCCAGAAGTCCCTGCCCCACATTTGTTGGAGGCCAGAGTCCAGATGGGCTCAGAGGAGCAGCAGAACCTATGATATTGCTATAGACAGTTTTGAAATAACCTCTGTTCTTCTACTTGGGTCAGCCAGTCTAGGGCAGTGGTCTCCTTCCTAATGCCGCGGCCCTTTAATACAGTTCCTGTGGGTCATGACCCACAGGTTGAGAACCCTGGTCTAGGGCTTCCAGGGAAACTAAGGTGCAGGACAGGACTCTCCCAGGGCCATTTATTTTCTAGAATAGATGAAAGCTAGGAAGGAGAAGGGATCCAGTTCCCATAGCCAGTCCTATTTTGCCCCTTTATGAGGAGATCTTTCCTTTCTGGGCCCCGAGTGCCCATTCTGTAAGATGAAGATGGCATGGAGAACACTTTAAAGCCCCAGAATTTGGTGCCCCTGTTCTGATCCCATCAGAGGCAGGGCACGGGGACCGGCCCTGCCTGGGGAAGCCCTGAGCCAGCTGCCGCCCAGTCAGTGGGGCACAGGCAGGTCTCCCACCTTCTGAAATCCAGGTGCCTCTACTGGCTCAGGATCCCCCAACCTGACCCACCATGTAAAGGTGAGGCCTGAGAAAGCAGGACAGTGGGTTGGGGAGCAAAATAGCTCCAGAGGCGGGAGAGGGCCAGCTATCCCAGCATGGTGCCTGCACGTGGGTCCTATGGAATGGTCATCTGCCTCACTGCATTAGAAAGCTAACTCTCCCCCTCTCCTTCCCAGGGAAGAAGTCCAGACCCAAAGAAGAAGAAATCTCTCAGTTCTAAGGAGAGAGACAAAAGAAATTTATGGTCAGGAAAGGATGGAATTGGCAGTGCCTTGGAACCATGGGAGCTTCTGCCCATGCAGCCACTGGAGGATTTTAAAGCTCTGAGCAAAGGCAGCTGCACTCTCTTTTGTGCCCTTCTTTCCATCTTTTCTGGAGTGGCAGCTCCCTCTGGGGGGAGAAGCCTTCTTGCTTAAAAAACTAATTTTTCCTCCCTCTCTTTCCTTTCCTCTCCCACCTTCCTTCTTCCTCCTCCCCCTTCCTTTGTCTTCTTCTTCTGCTCTTCTCTCTCTCCCTTCTATAGAACAGTGGTTGAATGGCCCACTGTATGCCTAGCACTGTGCTATGAGCTGCAGAAGCTACCAAAGAACTAAATTTGAAGCCTGAGTGCACAGGATTTAGTTAGTTAAGGAGAAGGAAGGAGGGGGGACTTTCCAAACAGGAAGGACAAAAGTGAAGACTCAGAATGGGCTTGGCCATGGAATCTGAGTGTAGAGAAGTAGAGAGAACCATGGTTGTAGTGGGGTGTGAGTAGATAAGTGCCTAGTCAAGGAGGGAGACTCCATGCACCACTGCCTACTCCAGGGACTGCAGCACTTTGTTCAGAGTGGTGGTGTGATGTGAGAGTTAAGGAGAAAGGAGTTCAGACAGTCATCAAATATGGAGCCATGAGGGCCTAAATCAGGGTCTAGATCAGGGCACCCAAAGCAAGAGCAGAGAGAACAGGAGAAAGAAGGGCCAGGAATTGTTGACTGACTAGATTTGGGGGATGAAAGAGAGGGAGGAATACAAAATGGCAAGTTTTGAGTTTGGGAGAATGCTGGTGATACCCACAAACCCAGGAGCGCTGGTGAGAAAGGAAGCCAGGTTTTAGAGAAGAGGATGGGTTTGTTTGGGGATATTAGTCGAGCTTTCTTGTGATTAGAGATATAGACCACAGTGCCATTGAACAGGCTGGGCTACTGACAAAGAAGGGAGAACTTTTCCCACCAGAAGAACAGCTGAAGGGAACGAGTGTGGATGAGGTGGCCCTGCGGTCTCTCTCTAGAGCCCACTACAGAGATTGGGGTCAGGAAAGGTGGAGGGAGAGGGATAAGAGCTGGCTCAGACCCAGTGGACTGGAGTTACACTAAGGGGAGCCCTGCATGGGTCCTGGCTCCAGATGTTCCTAGCCCCTATTTAGTGTCCATTCCTGGCCGCCCCAGGCAGGGGGGTGATCAGAGCCTCCAGGCAGGGTGGGCCTCTTGCTGTTTTGGTGGAGCTGGGTGCCTGAATTAACTGCTGTGTTTCTCTCTTCACTTTCCCAGCTGGTTTGCCTGGCAGTAGCCTCATTATAATTGTACCTTAACATATTAATGGTGGGTTTTCTTCAAGCCACCTGTCTCCTCCTCAGCCTGTCAGGAAATTTCCAGAAATGGGGCTCTTTTCTTCCCAAAAGCCAAGGGTTCAGGCAGGCACTGCCCCCAGGCTGGAGTGCTGTGGGGTGGGAAGACATCCCCGGCAGCTGTAAGCCTCACTCTTGGGGGTGTGACCCAAGTGCCAGGGACACACCTTTTTCAAAGCATAGCCCCAAGGGGCCCCCTTCCTGCCTAACCATTTTCCTGGACTTGGCTGCATTTAATGAGCTCTTGGTTTCAGATATGCTGGTATCCAGTGGTGAAGGCCACTTCCTAACCGGAGCAGGCCAGATAAGACAGCTGGTCCCTTTTAATAGAAAGGACTGTGGGCCTTGGATGGTGGCTGATTAATAGTTTGCGACTGTTGATTTTGCCTCCTCCTCTCCTTGCTGCTGAATTTGGCCTAATGATTCCATTTGCTGTTTTTGCTTAGCTTATCAAGCAACCAGTTGTCTCACCCCAGCTCTGGAAGGTAAATGCATATTGCACTACATTTCTCTAACTGCTTTTTTCTTGGGTCTGGGCATTGAGGGGCCACCGAGTGACTGCTCATGCACTAACCAGGCTGCATGGGATGAGGGGAGAGCTAGAGGCAGACAGGGAGGGTGTGAGAGGGTGCTCATGTGGCCATGGTTCTCACAGGGGTCAGCAGCGATGCTTGCATAGGTCATTTAAGAGGGGCACGGGGCCTCAGCAATAGAAATGTGGGCAGGGGTCCTTGAGATGCCTGCAATGACATCTCTATGCGCCTGGGAGGGGCACCATGAGAACAGAACAGGAAGCTAGTAGGTCCCTAACCCACCTCTTCTCCATCCTAGGTTTTCATGTTTTTTGTCACCATTTGTCTAGGTATGACACCTCATTGTTTGTGTTCTATTGCACCTGCCTTTTAGATTTTTTCTGCAGTCCCCTAAGTTTTCCTTTTCCTTCTTTCTCTGAATTTTCCTTTACTTCAGGCTCTCTCCATCCCTGCAGACTACAAACTGTAGGGAATCAGAGAGCATGTTAATACCTTCCTGTGTTGACTCTGAATCGGCTGCGGAGCCTGGGTGAGGCCTGCACATGCTCAGAGTCCAGGTTTGCAGTCCAGATTTGGGGAGAGTTGGCTATAGTTTCTCTGCATAGAGCAAGATTTCTGAATGGCTAACAGAGGTTTCTGATCAGTAATCATGTCTACAGATATGATTTATATAGTCCTCAATAGGGTGAATATGTGTGTCCTGTAGGTAGAAGAGGGCATCACAGCTGGCTCAGAGTGGAGTGTGGCGAGTGCTGAAAGGGAGAGAACCTGGGCAAACCAAGCTAACCTCAGGGCAAGGTCAGGCTCCTTTGCACATCAAAACCCAATGATTCTGATGTTCTTTAGAGACCGATGATCAGTCTGTGATATCCTTAGAGAAGTATGGAGTTGAAAAGACTAAGAGGTATGAGGTGTTGAGACTATCCAGATGTGTGAACTTCCTGGCTTCCTAGGAGACAGGACGCAGCCCACTGGGAGTCTATCCCACATCCAAGTGGTTTGGAGGACAGGCACAGAAAGCTCACAGCAACACGAAGCTGTGCAATATTCAGTGGATGTGACAGTATATATAGTGACTCTCTCTGTCCCCCCAAATACACCCCAAATCCACTTCTCTAGAGGGGGGCTTACATCTAGCCATGGCTTTCGACAGTTACTTGCAGTTTTCCAACATAAACCTTTTTTGTGGCTTAGCTTGTGATAGCTCACACCTATAATCCCAGCACTTTGGGGTGTTGAGGCATGAAGATTGCTTGAGGCCAGGAGTTTGAGACCAGCCTGAGTAACATGATGAGACCCCATCTCTGCAAAAGATAAAAAGAATTACTCAGGCATGGTGGCACATACTGTACCTGTAATACCAGCTACTTGGGAGGCTAAGGGAGGACCACTTGAGCCTAGGAGTTTGAAATTGCAGTGGGCTATGATCACGCCACTTTATTCCAGCCTGGGTAACAGAGTGAGACTCTGTTTTAAAAAAAAAATTATATACATATATACACACACACACACACATTATATATGGAGTTAGTGTGGAAACTTTGGGAAGATAAGTGTTCATTTCTATTCAAAAAGAGACATGAAATAAAATAAGCTCCTGCTGTTGCAGACCTAGCAGAGCACTGTCTCTGCACATTTCTTTTAGTGTTCTTTCCCTCTTTTCTCACTTTTGCAGTAACCGAAATTATTTTCTTAGATTGGCCCAAGACGCTTCATACCTAAGAGCCTAAGCTAAATATTGGATCTGGGCTCATGTTCATGATTGAGGTAGGATTCGAATTATGTAGGGAGGACATAATTAAAGATGTTTTGAATTAATTACAGAATCATAGAGTTTATCCTGGTAGCTTCTAGAAACTGTTGAAGTTTGGTATTTCCCGAAGTTAGAAATTGTTGTTAGTGTGATAACAGCAGGAAACGTTTTCAGATGCTTTTTATTTCATGAGTGTTCAGAGAGTTGCTAGTCTAGGTCCTAAAGGACCCTCCTGAGTAGCTTTTAAGAGGGAAAGGATTTGAGACCATCCTGAGAAGGAGCAAGACTCTGTCTCTACAAAAAAACAGAAAAATTAGCCAGGTATGGTGGCACACAATTGTAGTCCCAGCTACTCAAGATTGGCTAAGGCAGGAGAATTGCTTGAGCCCAGGAGCTTGTGGTTGCTGTGAGCTATCATGATGACATCACTGCACTCTAGTGCAAGTGACAAATGACAGAGAAAGACCCTGTCTCAAAATAAAAAAAAACAGGAATGGAAAAGAAACTTACTGGACAGATGGGTTCTAGGTCAGAGAATGTTATGAAAGTATACAGAATATGTCTGGCTGCAGACCTGTTCAAATGCTCAGTTGTGTGATGGGGTGGGATCCTCCTTTTGGATAGTATTTGTTGGGGGATGCTCCTGTCAACCCCTAAATGTCCAGGCATCTGCATTCTTGTGAGAGACCATGGCTGCCCCCCCATCAGTCCAGAAGTCCTATTTGATTCCAGGCACCTTTCCTGGGGTGCAACCTTTCTCCTCAAACTCAAGGCTAGATTAATATTCACAGAACAGGTGCAGTAAGCATGGAACACCTCACCCTACTCTATGGGAGGAGGTTATAGACTGTGTTTGCTTATACCCCTGCAGACCCTCACTTGGCCTCTTGTGGAGATGTTACAGGCCACAGACATTCCTTGGCTGACCACCCCTTCCTTTGTGGTACAGGCAAAGGCACCTTTGAATGATTTGTCTTTCTCACCACAGTTGCTCCTGCTTCCCTCCACTTTACTCCCTCACAGTCCTCCCTGCTGCTCAAAAGAGAGTGTGTGCCTGGGGAGTGGGAGGAGGGCATGGCGTGTGCACCACACAGGGTGGCTCTCTGGTGGCACTTCACACCTAGGAACGCACGGTGTCTTTGTTGGCCTGTGAAAGGGCTTGGCAGAGTGGTTTGCTCCCAGGGCCCTGGAAGGAGAAGTCTGCAAGGCCTGAGCTTTGTTGGTGAGTTTGGGCTAGACTCTGTAAGCCCACACATGCCCCTGAAATTTGGGACATGGACTTTCCTAGGGGAACTAAAAGTTCTGGCTTTTGCAGGGGTGGGTCTGTTTGTGGTTTGGCTGTCCTGCCAGCTGGTCCTAGAGCTGCTGACCATGTTTTCACTACAGCATATGGATGGTGTCCAGGGGTGGAGCAGGGAGCCACAGCTGGCTTTCCAGCACTTTCCCACATCCCTGTTTTGGATCAGAATTCATTTGGGTCTCTTTTTCCTGGTACCCCTGGGAATTAGAGTTCATCTCTAATTGGCTGTCTTATTCTTTGTTCACCAAGAGTCTGTGCTCACAAATGCAGGAGCTTCCTTCTGAGTACAGCTCCTGGAGTGGCTCCTGAGCTTAGGGGCTTTGAATCCTTGAGGGTTGGCTGGCTTTTCCCTCTCTGGCATGAATGGGAGCTCTGCTGTGCTGGGGGCTCCATCTCTCAGGCTTGACCTACCCATGTGTGTCTCATGCACCAGCTTCCCTGGAGGGTAAAGCAAGACCCCCAGTAAGGATGGGCTGGGGACACCTGGGATGGTAATTTGGCATGCTCGGGAGCCTGGCCTATGGTCAGAGACTGGGTCCGGAGTCCATTCCATCCCTTGATACCATCCCCGCCCCTAACCTGGCAAGGGGCACAGGCTGCCTTGAAGAGAGATTTGCCGGGTGCTGGAGCTCCAGCTGTAGGATGATGGACAGACGCGGTAAGACATAAGCTGCCTTGGACAAGGCCAGGCGTCGTATGTGTTGGGAGAGAGCTGCTCTGAATAGCTCTTTGCCTTTCCTAGGAGCACCTTCTGCTCCATCATTGCTCAGCTAACAGAGGAGACCCAGCCGCTATTCGAGACCACACTCAAGTCCCGGGCTGTGTCCGAGGACAGCGACGTCAGGTTCACCTGCATCGTCACAGGTAATGAGACTGTCTGTACACTCCATGCCAGGGCCTCTGCACAGAGCAGGGTCCAAGGAGGCTCTGGGGACAGGCGCGGTGGGGCGGCGGGCTGTGTGCACAAAACTGCAAGTTGACGCCTGCTTCCTTAGCTTTCTCTCCAGCTTAATCTTCCTGTGTGGGGGCCCTTGTTCCTCCTATTCTGGAGCCACATCTCTACCTTGCTCTCCTCCTTCAAAACTTGTCCTCAGTAAAGTTTCCTCACTCTCAGGCATACATACATGACTGATGAATCTTGGTTCCAATTGAAAGAGCTCTTTGGGGCCATTCCCTGATTTTCTCCATTTTACAGCTGAGCAGTGTGAGGCTCAGTCTTAAGCCTGAGAGGCGGGGATGTGCAGTGATTCTGATTGCAGATGCTAGAGGTAGAGTGCCTGGCTTGGCATCCTGCCTTGTTCCCTTTACAATTATTATATTGAGCAGGTTACATAATCTCATAGCTGCCTCATCTGTAAAGTGGGGATAGCATATAAACATCATCAGGTCATGTGACACTGAATTAATTAATACAGGCAAAGCATTTGGAATAGTGCCTGGCACACAGTAACCAGCAGGTAAGTATTAGACATTAAGACTGTTATTACATTCCTCTGAGCTTTGTGGTAGAATCTGAAGCAATGGGCTGGCAGAATAGGAAGCAGGGTGATACTCTTTGGGAGGGAAGGGAGGCTGGGGGAAGGAGTGCTAAGGAGGTGGCTCCCGGCATTGTCCCTTCTCCAGACTGCCCAGCAGAGTCCCCTTGCACCAACCTGACCCACCACTGGGCACCTGCCCCTCCCACCTGTGCAGACACCAGTTTAAGGGTTCTTGGTCCAGGCACCCTCTGAAAGCCTTTGGTTTTGGAAAATCAAACATCGGAGTTAGCCACAACTTTCCCTGATTCTGGGATTTGTCCACCCCAGTCAAGAAACAGCGTCTCTGCAATTGGGTTCCTGTGGGTTATTCTCACCCTTATGCACAACCCTCTGAGCTCCAGGCTGAGAACAGTCTCAGTTCCCAGGGACCCCAGACATGCCTGTACCCTTACCTTTGCATGGAATGATGCGTTTCATGAGCTGTCTCCATTGTCGTTGGGGTCTTACAAACCCTGTGAAGTAAAGCACTATTTTTAGTCAGATTGTACAGAGAAGGAAACTGGGAGAAGCTAGATGACTTGTCAGAGTCCACAAAACTAGCACAGAGGAGATGCTCCCTTGCCCTCTGTGGCATCTGAGGCTGCCTGCCTGTGCCGTGTGTCTGTGTGGCGCTGACAGTCTCCCAGAAGAACCTGCTTCTTTCACAGCTTCATGCTTCTGCGTGGTATTTTCTGTATTTAAAAGTCCTTAATTCTTCCTTTTTAAGAAATTAATTTTATTGTTTCACATTGTTTAAGACTTCAAATTATATGAAAAGGCATATATGAAACTACAGCAGCTCACTCCTCTCAGTTTGTCTTCCCAGAAGCAGAAGCAGCTCTTTTCATCTTGTGTCTCTGGCTTGTGTACATTTCCATAGTGCTGAGTGACATGTGGCTATGCCTGAGTGTTCAATTTCAGATGTCCTCTGGTTTCCTTCCCGTTATGGTAGATAAGGAATTAGCTCTTTTACACTATCATTTTCTGTTTTCCTAAACTTACCTTCTCATTATAGTTATATCACAGTTTTTACTTAAATCAACATTTACCTTATGCCTATGAAATATTATTCATGACTGAACATTATAGTATGCTGTGATTACATTTCTTTCTTCTGTTTTTCCTGAGATTAGTACTGTCCTTATTTTTAATTTATTTGGTTTTACAGTTTCTATTATTAATTTTTAATGCATTCTAATAGCCTCCCAATACAATGTACCATATGGTGAATGTCATCAGTAATCTGTTTCTTTCTTTGGAGACACCCTTCTAAGAGTTCTCCATTTCTTTTTTATCTGAACTGGCCTTGTAGACCTGATACACAGCTGTTATCCTGGGTCTTCCCTTTGCCTTTCCCAAGGTTTGATTCAGCTTCCTGGTCTTCCCTCTTTCTTGCTTTGTTTCTTGGCTTTACTGAAGTACCGCCACTGGCAGCTTCCTCAGGGCCTGAGGACGGCACCACTCCCTCGAGCTGCTCTGCCCCAGGATGACGTGTTTTTTTTCTGGCGCATAGTTGTCACCCTGGGGTCTCCCTTTGCTGTCATCCTGCAAATTCACTTTGCCACTTTCCTGTGCTGCAGTTTCTGCTTTTTGTACTCTACATCCTTTTCCTTCTTGATTTACATTCTTGTTTTGGTAGCTTTCTAGAATGAGTACACAAGAAGCAACTGACTGCTTATATCTGAAAATATCTTTTAATGGGCAATTTGTCTGGGTATATATCCTAAATTGAAAATAATTTTACCTTGGAAATTTTAAAGACATTGCTCCACTGTTTTCTTGCTTCCAGTGTTGCTGTTTAGAGTGGGAAGATGGTTTGTTCCTAATTCTTTGCATGTGACCAGTCTTTCCTGGAAGCTTGTAAGAGTATTCTGATATTTTGTAATGATGTATTTTGATATGGATCTCTTTATCCTGGTACGTGATTAGATGCTTTCAGGAAACTGAGAGCCTTTAGTTCTGGGAAATTTGGGATTATTTTGATGTTGATTTTATCCTCTTGTTTTCTCTGTTCTCACTTTATGAACTCCTATTTGGATATCTGTTGCCCTTGACTTTCTTCTTATTTTCTTATCCTTTCTTCCCCTTTTATTTATTTGTCTTTTTGTTCTGGGAGGTTTTCTCAGTTTTATCTTTCAACTCTTTTGTTGAATTTTTAATTTCTTTTTTTTTTTTTTTTTTTTT